TGGAATACAATGTTGACTTTAAAATTAAATTGACTTTACATGTATACTTTTTAAAATTCTCTTGCTTTACATTAGGTAAATTCTTAGGTATTCTTTAACTTTCTATCATCAATACAAGCTCAATAACAAAAGTTATAGACATAACAAAGATGAAGTGGTAAAACTACTCTGTATAGGTATTCTGGTCTACATTTGTAACATAGTACATATAATGAAACTTTTTCCAGAAGATAATTTTAATTTAGCAATTCACTAAATAATGAGACTTTAGATGTGTGTTATTAAAGTATAGCTTGTATTTTCCCATGTAAAATAAGCATGATCTAACTGCTTTGTGGTTATGTTTTTAAAGTCATTTCTTTTGGACCTTACTTACAAATGACCCTTAGTATTCATACTTTCATAATTTTAAGCCATGTGAGAAAAAAAAAAAAACTGTGGGAAAACTTAGGAGTAGTGGGTGGAGTGGGGAAGCACTATGTTTCTTCAGGATTCCCAGAAGTTTGCGTGGAGTTAGTTAGCACTTGTAATAGCTAAGGCATTAAAAACAATAACAAGTAATTCTTTTGCAGTTCATAAAGTTTAAAGATGAAAAGTAGGCAGCAAAATTCTTCAGATGGATTTAAGTAGAAGTGACTTGTGGCCAAGCCCCGTATTTTTATTGAATAGGTTCCATGGGTATTTCAAAGAACATGTCTAGACCATTTAATATCTATATATTAATCCCAAAATTAAAAAAGATTAATGTATTAAGCTACATAATTTATTTCAGATTAGTACATATCTTGCTCCCCACATGTTATCCTTGTGAAAATTTCAAATTGAGGAAAAAATCCATAGCTTATATTAAGGCTGAAAAAAATACGTTGTAGCATCAGTTTATCATAATGTCTGGCTTGTATTCATGAAGCAAAGCATATATACACAACCCTGACTCAATATTAAGTTTGGGGAGTTCTTTCCTTAAATAGCTAGCAGATACTTGGGTACTTTTATATCAAAGTGGTAAGAAGCAATCTTCAGAGGAAATTATATTCATTCTATCAAAGAATATAAGATAAGCAGCCTTGTGATCTTTGGGAGACCTCAACTCTGAAGAGAAAATTGTACAAATTTTTATTTCTTAAGAGCATTTTCAAAGGTCAGCAGTGTTGCACTTTCAACAGAAGTTATCTTAAACTTTTACTCTAAAAACTACTGAATAATCTGTGGAATATCAAGGTACTTTAAATGACCGAGTGCACTTCAGCACATAGCTTTTTAAAGGAAATGATAAAATCAGAAAAGAAAACAGCAAATTGTCATAGGTTACAGATATTCTAGGAAAGGAATTTCAGATTTTCCTCTAAAAGACCTACTTTTGCCACATATTTCATCATTGTGTTGCATCATTGTCAATAAAACATAGCTTTGTTTACAATCACTTCAGTGTTGAAAACATGATGGCTGACTCAGACATATTAGTCAAATAGTATTAAAAAAAATTACATTCCGACCTTTTCAGACTTTTTGAAAATGATCCTTTATTAGACATATTCTAATATTTTTATGAATTTAGCTTTTATTACTTAAATACAATGTATCAGTTCAAAATTAAGAGCTGATAAAATTCCTAGACCAACTAGGGAAAAGAGAAATCATTTTATCCTTAAGACTCAAGGGGATTCTTTTCATACAACTTATCTTGAAAAAAGTTTGAAAATATGTAATTTTTAGCAGTGTTCTTACTCCCTCTTGTGACCAGTAAATGAAATGTAAATGCTGCAAACAAGTTTCAACAGAGCTTTTAATCCCCCAAACCTAGCTAGATTATAAATATTCATTAAAATTCATTTAATATAAAATACATTACATATCTAAAGAGAATTCATTGAAAGCAAAATTCATCATGACTTAATAGCAATATCAAAAATTTACTTTTTTGGGGTGCCTGGGTGGCTCATTCAGTTAAGCGGCTGCCTTCAGCTCAGGTCATGATCCCAGGGTCCTGGATAGAGTCCTGCACGGGGCTCCTTGCTCAGCGGGGAACCTGCTTTTCTCTCTCTGCCTGTCACTCCCAACCCCCCGCTTATGTGCTCTTCTCTCTCACAAATAAATAAAATCTTTTTTAAAAATTTATTTTTTTGTGTTTTATCTTTTATATTTTATTTCAAGATGCATATTTTTAAATGTCTAAATTTCTTGATAAATAAAACTAAATTAGAGTATACGATATAAGGTAGGCAACAAAGTTCTCTAGAAGGATTTAACTAGAAATTACTCATAGCCAAGGCGCACATTTTTATTGAATAGTTTCCACACATATTTCTACTTTGATATGGCAAAGAGAGGTGGCAGGAGTAAAGGATTCTTGTTTCAAAAACATCAAAGGGCTCCAGACTCACAGAAATGCTTCAGTATGCAGAGACCTGGAGCCTCAACATAACTGTTACACTACTTAAAACTGCCCTAATTAAAATAAAAAGAAGTAACCGGTCTCCCTGCTCAGCAAGAAGCCTGCTTCTCCCTCTCCCACTCCCCCTGCTTGTGTTCCCTCTCTCACTGTCTCTCTTTCTCTCTCTGTCAAATAAATAAATAAATAAATAAATAAATAAATAAATAAATAAATAAATAAATAAATAAAATCTTTAAAGAATAAAAATAAAAAAAATAAAAAGAAGTTGAAGCTCATCTTAGATGTACTCTTCCCTGTTCAACGGCACTGCTCCTGCCTCAGTATTAAGCCTTTATTTCTCTCTTTTCTAAGTGTCTGAAGTTTTCTAGGGGCCTAGAATGAACTTGTATGCTTAAACTTCCCCTTAGTCAATGTCCTGTATTCCATACTTATCACCCCATCCCTTACACATGTCAAAAGTTCATATAACACCTTATCCATTCCTTTCATGACTGATTTTTACTATTCTATTACCTTAGAGATGAATACATACACAAGCACACGTTAGTTGAAACTAAATGTAAATGTTTGCCTCTCACATCCTATATTTGCGTTTAACAGGGGATTCCTGGAGACATGATCCTTTACCCCAAAATAATATAGTATTTTAGACACCATTGTAAAGGAAGTAAAAGTATTGAGTACCTACTTTAGCAGGTACTATATTTGACATTTTATATACATTATTTCACTTAACCTTCATGATATCCCCATGATGCAAATTTAATTATCTTCAATTTATAAATGAAAAAACTAAGACTTAAGAAGTAACTCACCCAAGGTTACATTGTTAATAGTGGATCCAAATTTCACACCAGGTTTGTCTAGCTCCAAAGTCTGTGTCACTTACCTGTAGCAAATAATGACATATTTTTGGTCCCAAAGATTTTTCAGGTGATTTTCAGACCTTAAATAAAGGTTTTGTCTTCTCCATCATTTAGTGATCTTCTGGTGAGTTGTGAATCATGCTCAGCGCATCAAATATGGAAAAAGTTCTCAAAACTAAACATATGAATATGAGATCACTAAACTCATTTTCACTCAAGTCCCAAGATTTTAATTATTATTTATAGTCCTTTATTGAGTATTCTATTGCATTATGAAATTCCGTGGAGTCCTAGTTCAATTTTATTATACATCATTAAAAGCATTTGAACATTCACTTAAATTTATCCACCAATGATTTATTGAAATATATTATGATTGAAACCCATTACATATTATATTATGTTATGTTATATTAAAACCAGCTATGCTAATGGTGAAGAGTCATGGACTCTGCCATTATAGTGTAGTGGGGGATACATATAAGGAATTGGGACTTTATCCAAAGGGCAACACTGATAAACTGATAAGAAAAGGAGAGACACAGTCTGCTAGGCATTGAGACATAATCACTCTAAAGAACTGCTGGGAAAGAGGTCAGAGTGGAGGGAGACCTGCTGGAGACTGTTTCAGCAATCAAGATGAGTAAGTTGCTTGATCTAGGGTAATAGCTCTAGCAATACTGAAAAATAGACCAAATTGTAAAATATGTAAGTCACAGAATTTTTGGTATATTTGATGTAAGGAGGGAGAAAAAAAGGAGGATTGAGAGGAATATTCATATTTCTGACAATTGAATGAAAATACCATTTGTGAGCTACAAAACAATAAAGACAAAAGTTTAGATAAAGGTAGGAAAAATGAGAACATTTGATATTTCAGGAGAAAGGAAGTTAGTTTGAATTCTTAAATTCTCAGTTTGTAGTTTGAGAAAAATGAAGCATATTTTGAATAAGTATTGTCGAGAATGGGAACATGAAATGACTAGCAAAATAAGGCAGGCTGGCCTGGCATCACTGAGAACCCAGGTGCAGCTGACAAGAAAGACAGTGCTGGTAACATCTTGACCTATGATGTGGTTTTCACCACCAGTACTCAACTGTCCCCCTGCTGAGGCATGGAGAGGACCATTGGGTTGGTGCAGGACTGATGCCATGCTAGGGAATGAAAGTATCAGTGGGGCAAGGAAGTGGGGGATGTGGATTGGAGACAGCTGAGGGGCCAATGTTACAAAAACAGGTGTAAGTAGAGTAACTGAATGGAAAAGTTAAAACTGTGGTTCTCAGGGCACCTGGGTGGCTCAGTCGGTTAAGCATCTGCCTTCAGCTCAGGTCATGATCCCAGGGTCCTGGGATCAATCCAGCCCCAAGTCAGGCTCCCTGCTCAGTGGAAAGCCTGCTTCTCCCTCTCCCTCTGCTGCTACCCCTGCTTGTGCTCTCTCTCTCTCTTTCTGTCAAATAAACAAATAAAATCTTTAAAAATAAAACTGGTTCTCAACCTTGGTGGCATATCGGTGTCACCTGGAGGCTTTAAGATCTACTGATTCTTGAATCACACCTCTAGAGAGGATAGAAATTCTGGTTTAATTAATCCAAGATAGGGCGTAGCCTGGGCATCAGGATTTCAAAAATTTCTCCAGGTAGCTCTGATTTGCAGCCAAAACTGAGAACTATTGGGCTATAAGGATTTAAGATTGAGGACTGGTTTTGTTTTGTTTTTGTTTTACTTTAACATGTGAAAGGGGAAGAAGTAATGAGTGATAAAAAGGTCCAGGATATGGCTGAGGGAATGGCTGCTTGAAGTGCTGTGGAAGGTTACTAATGATGTAGAAATCAACGACCTGAGCAGAGAGCCAGCTGGGTTATCCACATGGACACCGACATTACTCAAGGAGATGGCCAGACTTGGAGCGGTAAAGATTGTGAGTCAAATGCTTCATTTAAGTTATTTTTAGATTTACAAGTATATACCAGGTGTTGATGATTCGCATTATAAATTATATAACATTACTCCTGAAATGAACCTAAAAATTACTTTATATGTATTTATAAAATATTTACATGGTTTATATTTTATGCATTAAATAACTTAATCCATAACATGAAAACTGTGGTATTAATAAAATAAATTCAGATGACTTCATTGACCTTTCCAGGAGGGGAAAAAACAACTGTACATCAGTATATTATATCAGTTACCTATAAAACATAGTATATAGAAAATAGCTTTCAGTATAAGCAAATGTCCTTCTATGAGTATGAATTTTAACATGAATCAGTGTGCCTACCCTTTTTTTTTTTCAGTGCTTATATTCACTTGGTAAGAAACTATTCCTCTTTCCTGATGTTTACCTACCTCAAGTCACTTGTTAAGGTTAGCAGCGGGAAGGCAGATAATTCTAGCAATTTTACCTGGTTCTAAAATATATCCTAGTTCCCACTAGTTGGTCCAAAGGAGAAAGAAATATATATAACACTAGATATTATTTGACAGTGTTACGATAGTAACTTCTCATAGTTAAGTTAGAATGTAACTGAAGCTCTTTACAAAACCATCCTATTCAGCAAGAGTATCATAATGAGCTCCTTTAGGCATTTCAGTAATTCCTTTTGTTGTGATTCAAGACTGATTCATCTTACACCAATACATTTATGTAGTTGATGTAATTTTGGAATTTTATCTTTAAATTTTAAGTAATGTACCTTTTGAAAGTACAATAGGTATGTGATGTCTGCTTTGTTTTCTAAACTTCACATACTTGTTTTCTGACCTAACATGAAGGTTTTTTCCCCCTCTCTTCAGAATTTTTTGGCAGTTTTGTCAATTCTAATATATTTATATATTCACTGATAGCCTGCAGGCTTGACTGACTATAAGCATATTTCTGACAATTGCAGAATCTAATTTCCCAATTATGTTTTCACTGTAAAAATATAGTTGTTAAGAACTAAATCAATACAAATCTTCCTCTGCAATGGTCGAATGCAACTTTTGTTCTTATATTCACTATTAATTGCAATATCATTTAAAGAAGCTCAAAAAAGACTCAATTGTAACTGTAGTAAAAGTATTTTTAAAAATAAAATAAAACAATGTTAAATCATGAGGTGTATATCAGTAATACAAGAACCAGAAAGACAAATGCCAGCACGGACCGTCTAAGCTGTGTTGAGTAGAACTTATTTCTATTGTAGAAATGCTTCCAAATCCTCAGATCACACATGTCACTTACTCTGATTTCATGTGTACCAAGTTTATTTCTGGTTACTTTCTGGAAAAAAACACTCTGGCTAGAGAACAGGAGTGCTGGGTTATGTTGACTGTTATATTTCTTATTGTCAAATAACACACTGGCTTTCTGATTTATATATTTCAGTCTCTTGTGAGTTTAGTCAGTGTGAGTCATCCAACATATCTGACTAATTGTAAGGTATTGACAAGATTGAGTCTTTGAAACTCTTAAGCTGGACCAGACTGAAATCACCAATGTTGTAATTCTACTTTGTATGACTTTTTGGCCTCTTGAAATTTGACCAGCTGGCTTCCCCAACCTCAACATTTCCAAACCTCCATAATGGAGTTCTTTGTTCATAAAAAGAGTTTAGCTACAACAAAAATAATAGGCTCTCATTCTGTCAATCAGGGTATCTCAATGTGATCAATACATGAACATTATAATGGAACATTTACAACCAGACTTTCTCCTCCCATGATTCATTTACACAGGAAAAAATCAGAAGAAATTACCATAATTACAGATTGATTTTTTAATTGTAGCGATACGTTTACAATAAACAAATCCCATGCTTTCTAAAGATGAAAGCGTTTCAATCATGATGAAGAAAAAGGGGAGACGATGTAGTTTATTTGAATCAAAGTTTTTAAGATATTTTAATGGTGTTATCACATATATCCAGGAATGGACGAACTCTGCACTGTTCAACATCCTTCCTCCCATGGTTGGGAGGCAGAGGGACAGGGGAATCAACGCAAGGACCAAGAGGAGAATGAGAATCCAAGGGTACCTTATTAATATCAGAGCAAGCCATGGGATCACAAAATGCTGTGCTCTGCTGGGAAGATCAGGAATAAGACGGATGAGAAAGCACGGACAATCTACCTTTCCTTACCACGATCTTTATCCTCCATCTCCTCCACTCACACAAACCAACCTGAATATAAATTTGGGATCTTAACCACTTTCTGGATAGCTATATGGATAAAGAAAGTTGAGAAAAGGAGGAATTTTCCCTGGATGCAATCACTATATGATTTTATAAGTGGAAAACAAGAGAGAACAGAGTCTAGGCTAGTGCCTTTTAAGGTACAAGGACCCTCCCCACTTGATCATGGCCAAATAAAGTGTGAAAGTGAAGATTGGTCAAAAGGGCTGTGTGGCCAAGGGAGGATGTAGAGGCAGGGTTGACACAGAGTGAATAAGCTAAAAATTCCCTAAGCCTACAGTGTAAAGGGAAGAACTACAGACTTTGGAATCAGATAAACCTGAGCTAATTATCAGCTCATCCCTAATTAGCTTTATGGCTTCTATATGATCCCCAGTTTCTAATTTGTGAAATGTGGATAGTAATTTTTACTAGGGATACTAGGAAGATTAAGCAAATGACTAAAAATAGTTACTGGCACAGAGGAGGTGCTCAATAAATGATGGCTATCATTATTAAATATTATGGAAAATTTGTTTGTAGACCATACACACTTTGTTTAAAAGAGAGTTTATCTGGGGCGCCTTGGTGGCTCAGTCAGCTAAGCGTCTGCCTTCAGTTTGGGTCATGATCCCAGGACCCTGGTATAGAACCCTGCCTCAGGCTCCCTGCTCAGTGGGGAGTCTGCCTCTCCCTCTCCCTCTGCCTCTCCCTTTCCATCTGCCTCTCCCCCAGCTCAGGTGCTCTCTCGCATGCTCTTGCGCGTGCTCTCTCAAATAAAATCTTTAAAAAAAAGAATTTATCTAAAAGATAAAGAGGCAGATCCCTGTAATTTGTTATGTTACCAAGTGGTAATAAATTATTCAGCATTTTCATCTATACTAAAAAGAACTTTAAAATATTTCACTTAAGAATGATTTTATTTCTATGACTTACTATCAAAATTATCTAAACTAATAACCTAATTTCTAGTTATCTAAGGACTGAATTGCTCTCTCACATATATCCATTTCTATCAATATGAAGAGTTTCTAAGAACATTCATTTCAGATCAACCTAGACATACTAAATGTATGTTCAACATACATATGTTTAGATAAATATTCTTAGTCACTAGATAATTTATTTTCTTGTTAGGGAAATATATATCTAGCTTTTTTTCATTTTCTAAAAATTAATTTTATTCAACATATTCATCCCCTGGGATTTAGAGTCATGCCAAAGGTTGCATAGCATCAGAGTATTTCATCATGGAATTGTGAAATGAAAAATTGTTCTGCCAGAGGTTCTTGGTAGACAGTAAATGGTGAAATTCAAAACTCTCTTACAAATGTATGTCCTTAGCAGCTTGTTTTTAATACAGCACTACAAAAGGTTAATGTGATTAAACTTGAGTAAATGTTAATTCACCTTAAATTTTACCTAACTTCCATTCTTTTCTTTAAACTTATTTTATTGATATATAATTGACATATAACGTTATATAAGTTAAAGATATACAACATATTAATTTGATACATTTATGTACTGCAATATGATTACCACCATAGCATTAGCTAACACCTCTATCACATCACATCACATGAATATCATTTCCTTTTTGTGGTGAGAATAATTAAGATCTAGTCTCGCAACAACTTTAAAGTTTATAATATGTTGTTGTCTATAATCACTATATTTTTCATTAGATCTCTAGGACTTATTTACCTACTAGTTGAAAGTTTATACCCTTAAACAACATATCCCAATTTCCCCACTCCCAGCCCCTGGTAATCACCATTCTACTGTTTGTATGAGTTTGGCTTTTTAAAATTCCATGTTTAAATAATATCATAGAGTATTTGTCTTTCTCTGTCTGACTTATTTCACTTAGCATAATGTCCTGAAGGCCCATCCATGTTTTCACAAATACTTCTTTCTTGTGATTAAATAATATTCCATGGGATATATACACAACATCTTTGTCCATTCATTCAAGTGGAAGACACTGAGGTTGCTTCCATATCTTGGCTTTTGTAAAAAATGCTGCAATAAATATGGAAGTATGTATATCTCTCAAATATCCTATCTTTATTTCCTTTGGATATATACCCAAAACTGGCATTGCTGGATAATATAGTGGTTCTATTTTTAATTTTTTGAGGAACTTCCATTCTGTTTTCCATAGAGGCTACACCAGTTCACATTCACACCAATAGTTTACAAGTGTTTTTTCCATATCCTCACCAACACTTGTTAACTCTTGTCTTCTCCATAGTAGGTGCGAGATAATACCTCATTGTGTAAAAGGTGTGAGGTAATATCTCATTGTGATTTTGATTTGCATTTCCCTAATAATTAGAATGTTGAGTATCTTTTCATATACCTGTTGGCCATTTGGGTAAGTTATATGAGTTCTTTATATATTTTAGATATTAACTCCTTCTCCAAGATACAGTTTTCAAATATTTTCTCCCATTCCATAAGTTGTGTTTTTATTTTGATGAATGAATCTTTTTCTGTGTTTTTTTTTTTTAGTTTGATGTAATCTCATTTACTGATTTTTGTTTTTGTTACTTAACGCTTTTGGTGTCATTACCCAGACCAACATCAAGGAGCTTCTTCCATATGTTTTCTTCTAAGAGTTATTGTTAATATAGAGACTTTTTAGTGAGTGGTACAAAACAGGATCAATTTCATTTTTCTGCATGTAATTGTCCAGTTTTCCCAACACCATTTATTGAAGAGACCATCACTTCCCCATTGAATTTTCTTGGCT